AGTATAAGAAATCTGCAAGCGACAAGACCGTGAGAACGTATAAGAAATCTGCAAGCGACAAGACCGTGAGAACGGTCTTGTCGCTTGCAGATTTCTTATACTTTTTCTTCTACCCTGAAGATGGAGGCGATACGTTCCTCCGAAACGTCGGTTAACACCACATATACAGGGTGCCAAATCCCAGAAGACTGCTTTCTTCATAGTCACCGCCGTGAAAGCCTCAAATCTTACAAAGTATTCTTTTGTTCGCCTTTCTAGAAAGAGGCGATACTCACTGCCCACTTCCATTTAGTTTCATTTGTTTCTATGAAAAGTACTATCTTCTGATAAGTGACGCCATACAGTCTGGTAAAAGTTCAATGACGTTTCAAAGGAACGTGCTGCAACCACCTTCAGACCGAACAGTAAGCTAAGCAAGCAATCTTCAAGAAGGAAGAAGAAAGCAGAGCTCTGCTTTAAGTTAAAAATTACAACTGATGATTAATGGCAGTGACAGCACAGAATCTAAACACTATGTGAAGCTAAATTTTGAATTTTACGTTTAAAAAACCAATGGCGTAACGTAAGGTGGATCGCCTTAACCGCTCAATTGGTTAAAATACACCAACTCGACCGATGAATCATAATCTTCCCGCCCCTCGTCTCGTCTATAGCCAAATTTATTTCAGAAGAACTTCACGAAAACCCCATATTATTATCGTAAGCCAAAGTGAACATTTACTGTTAATGTTACTGTGGATAATAAAAATAAACGTTCTGATTACGCTTTCACATGCGAAGTGCAACAACAAAACTACAATTTCTCTAAAAGAAAATGGAATGGCAGAAGAGAACAGCGTTATTCAACAGACACTTCACCTGTATACAACAGGGCTAAGGACACAGGAATGAATTTCCTTCAACTTGTGTGTATGAGGACTAAGGTCAGATTACCAACTTCTCTTTATGTTTACATCAGAACCACGAGCAGAGGGCCAAACAATCTTAATTTGTGTACACTGGGGCCAAGATCAGTGATGAAAATTCTTTCTCATTTGTGCAACACCAAATCTGTTTTGTGTCCACCACAGTCAGAATTAAGAGCAACAGGACCCAGAAGACACTAATTGATTTGTATATTTCCATATTGCTTGTGCGTGGCAAAAGAAAGGGCTCCGTGCAGCGTTATAGGAATTGCGTGCTTTTCGTATTGTGCATAAAAATAACGCATGTCGGGGAGTATACACGCATGTATGTCCGTCTGCATTTTCAAGTTAACAATTGTTGGGCAGATTTGATGAAATATATTGACGTTTATATAAACATACAGAAATACGGACACACAAGGCACCTACTGAGGCGTTCTTTTAGTGCGCATTTTGCAAGCAACTCACAGTTACTAATGTATGTTCCTATTTTACCTCAATTTATACTTGTTTTCGTACGTCTTTCAATCAAAACGCACTTCAACAATTGCAAAATAATGTTCATTTCTTTCACCACCTTCACATAAACATCATGAAACGACCAATATTACTGAATGTCTAAGGCTTAAGGGTCACGCGGTAGCGTAGTTGGCTGAAGCACTATGCTACAAGCCGGAAGGTCTCGGGTTCGAGTCACGATGAGGTGGATTTCTTTTTTAATTTACCTAATCTTTCCAGTCGCATTATGGCCCTGGGGTCGACTCAGCCTCTAACAGAAATGAGTAACAGGAATCTTCCAGGGCGGTAAAGGGCAGCCCGCCCGTAAGACTGACAAACTTACCGCCATCTGTGAGCCGACGATCTACAGAAAATGTGGGAGCCTCGACGTCTCACAACCTTATGGGCCTTCACGGCCTGTTACAGGAATATTCTAAGGCTTAATAATCTTCTTTACGAAAAATCACGACAGCACATTATCGCACACACTAGGCTACAAAAGATATGCCAAATAATTTACAAACAGTTCCTGAACAAACATGTGCACTGCGCATCATCAGGTCACAGCTGTACTGAAAAGTCAGAACCTAGAAATTTGGGACCAGCGGTATTGCGACAAACGCAGCTAATTTTTTTTTTCCTTGGCACTACAGCCCCAGTGGGGCTAGGCCTACCTCCATGAACTTCTCCGAAACGCAGCTAATGCGACTCTAATACAGTACAGTGAAATCTTAATCCGAACTAATTAAAGCACTGCTATCTCCTGACCATCGAATCGTTCGGATTACCGGATTTATATTCGTTTCGTAAACGTGTTTATTCAAAAGAATTATAGGTATATTTAACATATAATCAACTAAAAATTTGTAAAATATTATAATTCTTAATATTGTTGACGTTCGACTACACGCGGCAAGCGGTAACCGGTTACACCTTACACCAACCAGAGAGGAAGGTTCATTAACAAGCAATATCAAGTTTCATAAGAATTCACTTTTACCGCAAGGAAAGAGAATAATCAGATTATATGTAATTTATGGAGGTGGAGTTTTTGTGGTAATGTCAGTCACTTCGGATTACCGAGGCTTCACTGTATTTAGTATCTTATTCTGCAGCCTCTTTGCTATTACGGAATTTTCTGTTCTTCAGTTTGTGAATTAGGCGTTTACCTAACCCCTTCGTGGATGTCACGTATCGAAGTAACCTCTTCTGTCAGATTAAAAGAAAACTCCGTGTGCACGTTTTCTACCGCAACTTCTCACCTCCTACTCAGGACCTCAAACTGCCTTTAGTTGAGCCACTTCAACTAACGAGTTGGCAGAAAAGTTTTTCCTGAAATTAGAAAGCTTCTGGGAAATTGACTTTTTTCTGTAAGAACGATCACAGTGAACTGTAGTGTTTTTGATTAGGAATGGCGAATGACGGGGTGCACCAAACACACGTACCGTGGCTTGGAAGCAGGAAGGNGGGGGGGGGGGGGGGGAGAAAGCAAAAGCAGAACATACAGTGGTGCCAAATGTAGCATTATGGAACATTTGTTTTGTTAATATATCTGTACTTGACTCAGACGCCAAATCTGTAAGGAAACACTACACGCCACAGTACTTCTGTACCACTGATATGTGTAATGAGCACACATAAAAACTCCGTGGCTTTAGTCCGCAAGCAAACTATACCGACCGAGCGACCGTCGCTTGTCAACGAACTTAGTGCCAACTTTAGAGGAAAGAGGGTGTCGTGTGGTCAGCGCAACGGATCCCCACGGCCGTAAATTCGGTTTTGCAGACCGATATTGGCATACATCTGCCGTGAAAATTCTCAAATTCCTGTAATCTGGGAATGTCTTGTCTTCATAAGTCTGATGGAGCACTGTCCCTGGTAGCCTAATGATCATCAGTCTCCCTTTCCAGAAGCGGTGTCCGTGGCTGTAGCATCCAAGGTCAAAGCTGGAATCAGAATTTTTTTTCGGAATGTGTTTCCTGAATAACTGTACAGGTCTCCACTGATGTCGATAACATTTCTTATGTTTCTTTCTGTAGGGAGAAAACGTTTCCAAAACTCACAAAATCTATACAACTGTCGCACTTTAAAATCTTCTGTATTACTTCACATTAATAGCAAATAATTTGAAATTACAAAATGCCTTAACCCGTAATTTTTGCATCTGTTTTACTGGATGACGGAGGTTACAATCATTATATGCACTTTGAAGGAGGTCAGTGTAAAATAATGGATACGATATCCACAGTAGAAGCCGAGATTTCTAAGATAGTTTCTTCGTTTCGTTACGGCATTTTCATGTGGTCAGTAAGTTGGGCGGTCTGCCCAGCAAACCACATCTGGTTACGAAGTTGGAACTGAATTCCTATGAGTCCAATATTTTTTTTAATTGCTAGTGGGGCCACTTCTGGCCTATTGTACCAGCCCCAGATGATAGGTGATGGTGATTGTGGAGCAATTGGTGGAATGAAGATTGGCAGGGGAAACCGAAGTACTCGGAGAAAACCTGCCACAGCGCCACTTTTTCCACCACAAATCCCACTTGACCAGACCCGGGATTGAACCCGGGTCGCCGCGGTAGGAAGCCAGCGACTAACCGCTTGAGCTGTGGCGCGGCCTTGCGTCCAAGTTTGCTGAAATGTTAAGGAACATCCACAAGAGCGTATGATGATGCTATGTCAATGGAGCAGACATCAAGAAACAGTAAATTTAATGGCGATCAGTTTCTACGAACTTTCGCTATCACTAAAATCACTTTCATATGCCGGAATCTGTACCTTCCATCGGATACGATTACCTACCAAGATTTACAGGGTTTATTAGAGGCATGATAGGCACCTTCAGCTTAATATCAAATAGTTGTTTCGATTATGGGTTGTTTAAATCGCTCAGTTATACACCTGTAATTTAGTCTTAAAAATTACAAGTTTTTATTTGCATTACACAACTGTCTTGGCCATTAATATAATTAATTTATTTCTCATAACCAACTGAGGTGCCTCCACAAATTTTCTTCAAAGGACGTAGTTCCTTTTTTCAGCACTTTCAAACAAATGCATGTAATTTTATACTACCTACAGAGCAACCGATATATCGATATCGAACCCTTTCCCCAGACATGGTATCATATCGATCTGTTGTTACCAAACTTAATAACTCTTGTTGAAAGAACCGAAAAAAAAACATGTTTCGGCATTGTCATCTGCAACATATATATTTGTTTCACATACATGCACATGTAACATGAAGCTAATATGTTGATTCAAACAACTGCCTATATTACTTATAAAAATAAACTCCTACGCAAGACTCCAGCTCGTCTTAATTACACGTTTCTGCATTATAATCCTACCTTGCCTGCGTGTGGTTTTACAACCTCCAGGCTGTTCTTCTCAGTTGCGAAGTTCGATAATTACGTGAGAGTTTACCGAGCCACTATACAAAGAAATGTGGGCTAACTTGGATTTTACCTGTTAACCACGAAAATTAACGTTGACACCTTACCCAGTAGTCCCCTAATACCAACTGTAAAGAAATATCGCACAAGTCCTACAGTGTACAATCAAACAGCTAAAGAGAAATACAGTTGTCACTTACCACGCATACTTGAATCTTAAAGCCGAACTAATCACATATTTTCATACTCGATGTAGTAACGACAGTAAAAGCAAAGCACTGGCCTAAAAGTCAGTAATGAAATAAAGTTACTGGCCACAATTCTAAACCACATACACACACCAACTTGTCTCTACTCTCGCAGCTCTCTGACGATTTCCCGTACAGTTACTGTGCCGCCTCAACTTACAGAGTCGTGACGTCAAAACAAACCGTGACCGACGTCATATACGCATGCGCGGTGAAATTCGTTTCGCAAGAGGACAACCAACATGCCGAGTCCCAAGGTTCGTACCACAAATTAAACACAAATCTGCCGTATTTGTGGTAGAATGCGGCTGTACAACCAAACGCATTCGTCTGCGCTTTCCAACTGTCTCTTTAATTTTCCTTGTTTTCTAAACTTCACGAAACCCCAATTCCACCATGTCACTTATCTATGAACATGACAAAACATGAAAACAAAAGAAAATAAAATAGCAATCATGCGTATACATTTAAAATATTTGCCTAAAAGCTGCTCGCTTGCTACTTCTGTATATATAAAATTATATTGGACTTACATCAGGCAGATAGTGAATGCATTTAAACATTTATTTCGACACACACTTCTTTTCATCTGCTACATGAGCATAGAAATGTGGCCAAATTCTCACGCTTGTGTAGTTGTATTTAAGGTTCCATGTCCACACAAGATTCAAAGTAAGATCTTAACGCAACAAGTTTATGCGCCTGAGTACCTACCAAACATCAGATTTAAAGAACAGAACGTTTCAAACTAGAATGAACAATTTTTAGTGTGAAATTTCAGTTCCTCAAGGCGGTGATCCTGAAGATTCGATATTCTATGACATGACGCCACGTAAGTTGGTCGATGGGCACCATTACTGTGGAGAAACCTGCTGCTTCCATGCCCAGTGTGTCCAGGGTTGAAGAGTGTTCTATCCCCAGTCTTCACTGGCATTGATGTCGTGTCTGAATTATTAATAATGTTCCCTTATATCTTTCGATATATCTGTAAATTATGTTTCATTAGCATACTCTGGCTCACGCGGTAGCGTAGTTGGTTGAGGTAATATTCTACAAGCTGGAAGATCGCGGGTTCGAATCCCGATGAGGTAATCGAATTTTTTCCAATTTACCTAACCTTTCCGGTCGCAGTATGGCTCTGGGATTGACTCAGCCTCTAAAGGCGCGCCCAAATTACTGGTGCTCGTGTGACTCGCTATGATCGCGAGTAATGTGGACGATATGACAAGTCACGAGACAAGCAAATTTTTAATTTAAAAACTATAGCCAATAAATTTAAATACGACTACAGCCTATACACACTACGAGTAAATATACGGATCCTCACGCGCCGAAGCCTGGCGAGCAACTGAAGTATTGTGGACGAAGATTTACGGCCACAAGTAAAAGCCAGACAAGTCTCCCGACAAGCAAAAGCCTGGCGAGCACGAGCACGAGCACGAACACGAGTAATGTGGACGCGCCTTAACAGAGATGAGTAACAGGAATCTTCCTGGGGGTAAAGGACGGCCGGCGCGTAAGGCTGACAAGCTTATCGCCATATGCGAGCCGATTGTCTAGAAGATGTGGGAACATCGACGTTTCAAAACTATGTGGACCTTCACGGCCTGTTACAGGGATAGCTTTACCTTTTTTCCCTTCTAGCATACACTAAACCTATGTAAGAGCTTTAAGCATACCTGCCGAATTTTTCTTATGAGGACCTCCTCCCAACGGTCTCAGCGAAACAACCACATCTGTCCTCCGAGTAAAAGCAGAGTAACTAATTTCTGTTTGTTCGACGATGTCGACAGAAAAATGTAAAAAAGAGTACACAAATTGACACAGATTATTCTGTGCTCACTCCAAAGTGTTCCAATGCTAATTTATTACACTGTAGCTATAGCTTATTAGTTCTCTAGGTATCATCCATCGAATAAGATTCTATAAACAAAACACTTAACGCCCTGGATCTGCTTCCATTCTCAGGTTGCGGCATTACTCATTTGGGTCAGTCAGATACAGCTAAGCCCTCTCACAAGGCGAGTGGTCGATTTCTACCCTGGGGGTAGACGCAGTACATATATCCAGAACTTCGGTGAAATTCTACACGGCGTCACATCCTATAAAATATTGTCACTTGTATGAGTGACTATAGACGGGGTTTGGATTGGCGAATAGATTTGTTAGCCAATTACAGTTCGTAACTACAAATGACTACAACACTATTGCTATTTCCACACTTTACAGTTCACTAGAGCACACAGTCTAGTGTTCTCAGTCTGTTACTAGATATTCCTTGGTAACGGCTCCAACAATGGCTATCCCCCCCCCTTACGGCTCAAGTCCTTTCTTCACAGACTCCCGTACAGAACCGACTAAACTGACCTTGTCCCTTGCTTATAATATCCTAGCAAGGATCACACAGAAAACCCAGCTATTCTGTTGTTGTAGTCTATTGTTTTTTTAATTCGGTTAGTGGAGGGTGGAGTCCAAGTGGATCCACTTGGCACGGCGGCCACTGATTGGCCTATTGTAGCCTGCCCCGGGTGATTATGATGTTGGAGAATTTGGTGGAATTAAGATTGGCAGGGGAAACCGAAGTATTCGGAGGAAATCCGCCCCAGCGCCACTTTGTTCATCACAAAATCCCACATGACCAGAACCGGGATCGAACCCGGGCCACAGCGGTGGGAAGCCAGCGACTAACCGCTTGAGCTATANTTGTTGTAGTCCAGTTGTTGCATTATTAAGAATCTGCTGCCTAGCAACGGGAACGTGTTTACCGAGCCGTTGGCCAGAAACGGCCCTGGTATATTTGCCCACTTCGCGGTCGTTGCATAACAACGGCTCTACACGCTACACAATTATTCTTCATTGGTAACGAGCTTGCCGTCCCCAAACACGTGCGAATGAATATTCATACCTACAGCCATACGCATGAACAGTTCAACGCACAATGCACAGAAACATCTTACACACGGCCTACGTACGTAGCTCCAGGCACTGCTGAGAAGAGGCTGTTAAAAATTTCTGAACTCTAAGATCTAACAACTAAACTCGCAGACGTACATGGATATATTTTTCAGTTTTGCGAAAGTTCACATTATTTCTCTTCGCACCCCCCNTTGCTTTTCGCGAGATTCCCAACTTTTTCTCTTTCCACCCCCCCCCCCCCAAATAATATATCTGGCAAAGAGTACGAATCATAAAAGCGTTTACGAAATTTGGCAGTTTCCTGCTTCTCCATTTCATCATCCAAATATTATCCTCAGATTTTTGTGTTCGAACTTCGATACCCGATTGTCACTCAGCACGGGTGTAATAACAAAGCTTCTCCAGATCTGTGCTTAAAGAGACACATGTCCAAACCAACAAGTTCTGCAAGCAAACAGACGGTTGGTAACGTAGTGTGTGTGCGTGTGCGTGTGCGCGCGCGCGCTTGCGTGAGTGCGCGTGTGACTGGCAAACTTCGAAAAGAACAGAGTAACTTGAGGCATAAAATGATGTGTAGAAATTCACCGTACTGATATTTGGTAAATATGATTTAAATATGTAAGATTTGAGATTTTCACGGCGGTGACTATGAAGAAAGCCGTCTTCTGGGATGTGGCACCGTGTAGATATTGTTAACCGACGTTTCGGAGGAACGTATCGCCTCCATCTTCAGGGTAGAAGAAAAAAGAAAAACCGCGAGCGATGAACCAGTGTGAGCAGGTGCTGACAGACTAATCTGTCATGTCATGTTTCTTCCTTCTTACGGCTGCTCGCCCCGAGTAGCCTACAGGCGCGTTGCCACTGATTCTTATGGTCGGGTACAGAACGTCCGGAAGTGGTCAGTGCTCCTACATCGGCGTGATGGAAGTTGTCGGTAGACTCTTCATCGATTTTGGAACGGACCGGAGTCTCATGGCAGATCCAAATGTTAACTTTATTACCTCCAGCTTTAGTGTCTACCTGAGGGCTTCATCGAGTGTTTTCTCGCCAACCAGTAATGGCTGCTGTTTTATGCTGCGGCCTCCAGTCCGACGTGGAGGACAGCGGGAGCCCGGCAGTGCAGGACAGCAAGCAAATGTGTGACATTTGTGTAGGGTGCCCACTTATGTTATCCCGCCACCGCCTCAAACTGACGACGTAACACAGTCCAGGATTTTGACCCATTTCGCCATCCTAAGTTAGTCCTCAGATGGTCGAAAGGCGGCAATGACGTGAGCAGAAGAGGACATTGTTGAAATCCGTTTCCAGGCAACTTCTAGTGAAGACGCGGGAGACTTATTGTGCCTATAGTGAGAAGTAGAGTGCGTGAATTAGCAACAGCTTTATAATCACTTGTTTTTACGAGTTATAAATGTTCAGTATATCCAATTACCGATCCAAACCAACTAACATGTGGCAGTATTGTTAAGGCATTATAATTTTCTTAATTCGTCGCTAAGAATTTAATTCAGCGTGTAAATATATAAATAACAGAAATAAAATTTTCTATTACGGCACTTTATATGTCTAGTTTGAAAAAATTCTAAACATTACTCTTTCGGGGAACGACGCTGTCTCGATCTTGAGGTAAAAATCAGAGAATGGGAAGTCTATCTTGCAGAAGCCGTTAGACGAAGTTTTCTCCTTTTTAAGTCACCACCAAAAAATTCACGAACAACCTTTCCCATTTCACTGAAAATATGGTCTAGTGTTTCTCTATGATTTCTAAAACAAAACATTTCATGAAAAAGGAAATATTTCAGTATTTTTTTATTGCTAGTGGAGTGGGACTAAGTCCCTTGTACTGCAGCCACTTCTGGCCTATTGTACCAGCCCCAGATGATAGGTGAGGGTGATTGTAGAGCAATTGGTGGAATGAAGATTGGCAGGGGAACCCGAAGTACTCGGAGAAAACCTGCCCCAGCGCCACTTTGTCCACCACAAATCCCACTTGACCAGACCCGGGCCGCCGCGATGGGAAGCCAGCGACTAACCGCTTGAGCTATGGAGCTGCCTTCAATATTGCACTAACTTCAGGCCGTAAACAACTTTATTTAAATAGGTCCGAGCACTGAGGCACGGAAGGAAATTACATGGTCTGCATGCTTCACTAGAACCTCGAAAGGAAGGTGAAGTTTTTCTGGTCTCAATAAATGAATATACGAGACTTCA